CTGTTGACTTCTCTCTCCACTGGACACCAACTAACTATTTAAGTTGATTTGCATACAAAGCAGAGCTTGCAACATGATAGCTATTCATAAAGGGTGTTTTTTTACTTTTCATATAATACAGTAGTCACACAATGAGGCAGTTCATATTTGTCTCAGTGAATCATTAATTTTTGACAGACACCTGTACAAAAGCCAGCTAAAATTTTATGTTATCTTGCATGTTTTATGAATCTATTCACATCTAAATGCAGCACTTTTTTTTTGCAATGAGACATTTGTTTTTATACTAAAATATCTGAATTACTTTGAATAAAGCTGGAAATTATGTCCTTAAAATAATTAAACAAATAAGGCACCAATGTTTTTGTAAGATATTTACATCTTTTAAGGACATTCGGTAGACTGATTCCCCACTGTTGGTTCAACCCCAAAACTTGTTTGTATTCAAAATTAATTATGACAATGCATATTTATATTTAATATCTTCCCATCAAATACTGTACTGAAGCACTGCTCCATGTTCCTAGGAGTGATTACATGAGTGACTCCATGATGGCTCATGCTACCACGAACCATCAGCTGTGGTAGACTGCAGTCATCATTCTCTCAGTTCTACCACCATCATATCGAGTACTGTAAAATACTTTATTTTCGCTTGGAAATAATTTTCGCTATTTTTGCTGAAGGAATGATTCAGTGAAAATAAAATCCAGTGAATATACCTTTTTTCCTATATTTTACATTCAAATTGTTAAAAATCAGTGAAAATAAATTCCATACAAAACATTTAAAAAGTCTTTTCAAGGAAAATTAATTTCCAGCTAAAAGTATTTTACAGTATACTGAGACTGCATTATGGTATTCTCACAGGCTATTTAGCCAATATGGCACACGTTTTGATTGAATTTCCCAACAACTCTTATTAGATATGTCTCCGATAGATATGCACATATTTCTGTATTGTATTTATTCTCAGGTTGGCTGGGAAACACTCCTAGATCAAACATCCAAAATAATCGAAGAAGATAAAAACAGTAAAGATCATGACGCTATATTTGATGATCTTAATTCTCAAGTTAAACAAGAGAGTGTAAATAGACATAAATGGCATGAACTTGCTCATGATAGTCTGGTATGTATGGCAATCGAGAATACACTTCGCATGTCATGAATTATCAATTCCACATATTTTTTGTAATCACGCAGATGACAGACAACATATTTATCCCCTTATTTACTTACCATTTATCTTTGACTACAGAGGGTGATTCAGCTGAATACACTGGAAGATCGGTCAATTAGTGACAAGCAACAATGGGATAATGCTGTCCAATTTATGAGCAATATTCTTACTCAACGTCTGAAGGAAAGTAAGTGCACACAAATAAGCCATTTTGAAACCTTCACAAGATCTCGTATTATGAGTGAAATTGCAGGACAAACAAAGGTCTTGACATCATAGATCCGTCAGAATACTGCATGGGATACAACGAACAGGAAGTATTTGTTGGGTATTTTCGCATTTCATTTGATCAATGAGCAATTTTGATGCAGTAAAGGTAACTCAACATCATTTTCCCCTCTGAAAGATTGGTATTTCAACATATATAAAAAACAATCAAGTTTAAAATCAAATAATTTGATTTTTGCGGTAGACATTCTGTTTTTCGCCTTTCACACATACCGAGTAACATTAACTTTTTAATACTTGATTGATATTAAAGGGCGACAGTCATCGTGCTGCGCATGTACGACATTTGTGTTGATAAACATTGATTTACCCACAATCCAATGCGTTCTTCTAATGGGAATCACAAGTATGAGGTTTGACCTGGGCATGACTTGCACTAATTACAGGTGGTGACTCTTTCGATACCTTCCAATAACCTAAAAATACTTATTTAAAGCTTGGTAACGTCTCAGTTTGTACTCGTTGATCTGCGCAGAAGTCAAAGTCGCCATCTTTGTTTATATGAGACCCATAAATTTCGCGCATGCGTGGCGCGACGCAACGACTACCGCCCTTAAGCAATAAAGTGTTTTGACTCTGGCAATACTCTGTATCATTTAATCCGTACTAATGAGTTTCTTTCTAGAACCATGGTACAACCTTATAATGAAATTACTTTTTTATTTTTAATTACTAGGTTAGTTTTTGCCCACCAATACTAACAGCGAAGTCTTCCTTACATACTAAGATCTATCAACACAATGCAGTAACAGTACCAACTTCCACTCATTTATGCACTTCTTGTTTCTTCCCTTGACAGCTGAGGAATGCATCTACGAGATGATTGGTCCTGGATGGTCGGAAAGATGGTTACATTGGAAGTCTAAAACACCTGATCAGCATTGTAGAGCAGAAGCTTGCGTAGAGCTAGAAAAACTTATTCAAGCTGATTTAGTAAGCTACATTAGTCAACTTAATAATAATAATGAATTTATTGCATCCTTAAAAATAGTTACTAGTTTGTTTTGACAGCAATAAAATGCTAGTAATAAAGTACAATACATATAATACTAATTTAAAAGTAAAATGTTGGTTATTGTTATTTTTAAGTATTCTCCAGCTTGTCTTATTATGTCTTCTCTTGAACTCATAATATATATATTTAAATATCTGGACATCACTTTTTAATTCTTCTGGAATATTGATATGATTAAATAATTTTTGTCTTTCTGTTTCCAAAAAGACATTCCATGAAGAAATGTTCTTCATTTTCAATTTTGATCTGGGAACATTGCTTACAGATTCTGTCTTCTAAATGTCTGCAAAATTAAATAGTTCACTTTATGTTGGTAGTGGTAGCGTAGTTGCATCAGATGTGTGATCACTAGACCTGGGTTCAAATTTTACCTGCTGCTAAACAGCAAAGAGGATTGATTCCTACCCTAGATAACGCCATAGACTTAAGTATGCTGAAGTATTTTGAATCCTAGCTTGGAATGAATGTTATGAGTTGTATAACTCTTGCGTAAAGTTTTATTTCAATTGGTCAAGTCATGTCAAGGATATGATTTCAGAACTACATTCTTTAAAAATCAAGTTTGTCCATACATGACCGAAATGCTTGATTTTGATGCATGGCTATCTTTCAGCCATCTTGAATGAAATCGTGAAATTATCGAATGCGAGTGCATATGTGTGACATGATGTATAATGTTTATATAGAGCTTAAACATGATGCATGTTAGAGATACCGCTCTGTGACAGTATTCGATCTGAAAATGCAAAATATCATGTACATGAGCCCACCATATGTCCACTGTATGTACCAATGTTTGAACAAAATCAATCCATCCATGCACAATCGAGATACAAGAAAAGTTGGATTTTTATGCATTTTACCACTAAAATGGCTGCCCTTCAGCCATCTAGAATTTGGTTCGAGATAAACGTACATGTATATGTATTACAAGATGTACACTGTAGCTGAAGTTCGTTCTGAAATACATAATGAGGGACGTACATAATTTATACACACCAACACACAGAGTTTAATCACATACCTTTTAAGGTCTATGGATAAATCTATAAGTTTTTTACTTCGACCAGGCAATACTGTCATTAACACACAAATCTGAGAGAGAATGATGGCCTTGAGTCTGCAAATTAAATTATAAAGCAATCAGTTTTTTACCACATTACAAAGATATTCATGAAAAAAAAAAATCAATGATATCGTCATTATAAAGTGATAAAAAATGATAGCCATTCACTATTGGTAGATTAACTTCTCATCATAAAATTCATATTTCCATTTTAAATTTAAATTTAAATTTATTTGCAGAAACACAGGCCAACTCTTTCCAGTGATGAAATCACAACTGTTCGGAAAAACCTACAAACGAAGAATGTGGAAGTAGACAATCAATTGGTAGGTATTAGAAAAAGTCACAATTGCAGTGCAGTGGTTATGTGTGTGTATGACTGTACTCTAAAATTGTATGAACTCATCAAATTAACTAATAAATCTACTGTAATATTCAAAGGTAACAAGATTGTTGAATAGAATTCTCCATTTCAGTAAATCTACTGACTTACTGGTATATTCAAAGATATTTATTTATTTATTTATTAACACACAACATCCCCCGGAGGGGATGAAAAGGGTTACAAATCAAATTTTAGTAAAAGAAAAATAACTACATAAAAAGTAAGGGAACAAAAAAGCAAGGTGGTTGATAACAAGGTGGTTGAAGAGAATTCTCTATTTGAAGACTATTCTCTATTCTCTACATATATCTTGTTATTATTTTAAGACTCTTTTTGCTGTACTTATCCTATGTAAATCTTTTTACACGGAGACAATAAAGTTATTATTATTATTATTATTATTATTTCAGTAAATCTAATAATCTTCAGAGTTATCAAGATGGTTCATCAGAATTCTCCATTTCAGTTTTCACGCCATGTATTCAACTTGTGGTTCAAGATTCATTCTGTATTCTGATGCATACTTTACAACTTGAAACTGCTGAGTGTTATGCTGTTATGCTACTCACTAGTAAAAAATAATGTCATTTCTTTTATTTTTACTTAATTTTTGGCATATTTTATCCTTGTCTTCTTTGGCAAGAACATATTTCAAAACTTTGGCCTGTAACGTGGTGAAATAACAAATCCTGGTAATGTCTGAAGGTATTGCAAAATTTACCGGCATTCAAAAAAAACAACAGATTGATAGTGAATCAGAAAAATTGACTGACATACTGTTGACTAATAGTTTACAAAAATCATTAACTATGGACAGATTTGACACAAAATATTGTCGCTGCTACATGTATATGAGCTAAAATACAGGCACATGTACAAGTACAAGTAAAAGTCTGTGTTCTAATCACATCAAAGAGGATGTGATCGTGTTTGATCTCTTCAGCCAACTGCATACTCAAAAGTATTAATACAAAGGCATTCTACCTGGACAACGTAACCTGTGGTATTACAATTGGGGAAATGGCATCCTATTAGACAGCGGTCTTGTGTTTTGAACAAAAAGCAAATTTCTGCATGATGATTGTCTCCTTTCTTGCATGTCATCCTTATAAGACTCTTACATGAAATACTTTGCCTGTCAATCTCAATGACAAATAATCAAATAAAATCTAAATACCAGTAAGCAAGTTAACATATTATCTGATCTCACTTTTTCTGTGACAGATTCGTGAAACATGGCACCAATTGTACAGAAGACACTTTTTACTTAGAGCGATACAGCGAGGCAATGAGTGTAAAAAAGGCTTTTATTATTATCAAAAGGGATTCACTGATTCTGGGGTATGTATATAATAATTTCATTATTTTTACTTTTTTATCTCATATAGCTCAACTAATTTTATTTAACACTTTAGAGGGTAGGTCAAAATACAATAAAGTAATTTTCATCGGGCCCTCTGTAGAAACAAAATACACAATATACAAACTATAGGCTTGAGCCATTTACAACAAATTTTTCAATAAGATATATTGAGGCTGAATTTCTAATATGGGGTGGTAAGTTATTCCATAGGGTTAATTACCCCTCTATACCGAAACGTCCTCTGCCCCATGAATGTTTTCTATTTAGAAATGCATAAATTATTATTAAGAGAGGAACGTGTACTCTACTTGTGGGTTTGGGAGATAGGACTGAACATTTTGATAAAGACGCCAAGCCATTGGTTGCCATATACACTAATCTGTGGTTATCAGACTTTTTATAAACCTGAAAGTCCTGGTTGCAATTACATATAACATATAAAAACAAGTTTGACTGTATTTAAGTATTTAACGAGATTTAAGCTGGGTATCTTCAGTGGGTCACCATCTACATATTTGCATTCAATAAATGTACCAGTAGAGGGCAGGCTTTTACAGTTAGGTACTGATAAGCTTTTGGTTGCAATTACACGTAACATATGAAAACAAGTTTGACAGTATTTAAGTATTTAACAAGATTTAAGCTGGGTATCTTCAGTGGGTCACCATCTACGTATTTGCATTTAATAAATGTACCAGTAGAGGGCAGGCTTTTACAGTTAAGTATTGATAAGCTTTTGGTTGCAATTACACATAACATATGAAAACAAGTTTGACAGTATTTAAGTATTTAACAAGATTTAAGCTGGGTATCTTCAGTGGGTCACTATCTACGTATTTGCATTCAATAAATGTACCAGTAGAGGGCAGGTTTTTACAGTTAGGGACTGATAAGCTTTTGGTTGCAATTACATATAACATATGAAAACAAGTTTGACAGTATTTAAGTATTTAACAAGATTTAAGCTGGGTATCTTCAGTGGGTCACCATCTACGTATTTGCATTCAATAAATGTACCAGTAGAGGGCAGGCTTTTACAGTTAGGTACTGATAAGCTTTTGGTTGCAATTGCACATAATATGATGAAAACGAGTTTAACAGTATTTAAGTATTTAACGAGATTTAAGCTGGGTACCTTCAGTGGGTCCTGTATTACATCACACTGTGCACATTATACATGTAATTAAACAGATATGAGATCTAGCCTGGGTTCAGTGGATTGCTGTCTTCTTTAGGTTTTAATTACTAGTACCAATAATTGCATTTAGTAAATTCACCTGTAGAGGGCAGTCTAACTTAAGTTTACAGTTACTGATAAGGAAAGTGAATAAAAAAAATAGAATACATTTGTTTCTACCCCTGGTAATAGAGTAAATACTTTATTTTAGCTGGAATTGATTTTTCACTGAAAAGATTTTTTGGGTGTTTTGTATGTAGTTTATTTTCACTGATTTTCGATGAGTTGAATAGGGAAAAAGGTATACTCGCTGGATTTTATTTTCACTGAATCTTAAGCAAAAATAAATCACATGCAAAATTTAAGTATTTTACAGTACAGTACAGCCTACTGCACGTGCTTCTCTACCTTTATATTGTATCCATGCCATATGTGAATAAGGCTACACTGTATATCATAGGATACATTTCCCATATTTGATGTGATGGTTCATATGTATCTAACTCTTTGTTCTTTCAGCTTGAATGTAATGATGTGGTATTATTTTGGAGAATACAAAGAATGCTACAAGTTACTAGTAATGCACTCAGACAACAAATTATGAATACAGAAGGTGAGTTACCATGCCAACATACATTAAATATTGGCGTCATTAAAGTGCCTGTGAAATGCTCACCCACACATTTCCCATTTTGGATTTGTGTTCCACTGAAATAGGCAGTTATTGATTTTTGGTTGAAAATCATTACTTGTATCCGAGTAAATTTGGGATATTTCTCGTGTTGTAGCCACACCCACCTATCCTGAAACAGTTAACTGTTTCCGGCTTTCCGACTTCAGCTGAAGTAAAAGTGCGCCACCAAACGCCAAAATATGAGAGGAAGTCATACTCTTGTACTATACTTTTATAATTCTGTGTTAATGATACTATTAACGATATATATTTTTCGGTCGGCGTTGTTTTTAAAATGTTGTATTTTTGGTGGAAGAGTGTGAGAATTTACATGTTTCCAAACGATCTGGAGGTGTAAAATCAATTAGAAAATGTTGGGATAGACATTCTCCTTATACTGTAGATTCCTACGCGAAACAACTGTCCTATTTTCAAAAGAACAACTTGGATTTAAAGACAAGTACCGAAACACAGTACTACCATTGAAATCCTATTATAAACCACATACCTAATAGTAACCGCACCCCCGATTTCGGCTTCATTGTTAAAGAGTTCTCAACAAAAATTGAAAACATGAAAAGTACTTATTACTAACCGCACCCCCAATTCAACAAGACCGTGACTGACTTTGTTTCAACCAGCTGGTACATTGTTCCTAATCGTATTCATTTGTTTCAGCAACGTGCCTAAAAATATTCACATCTCTTTATTGTTCACTAGTGTTAGGATGTCAAACATGCAGTGAAACTGCTTTTGTTCTTGCGACAACTTTTGTTAAATTCTCCTTATGAATACGTCCACGTGTCGCAAGTTTTTGACAATGAGCTGTTATCACCGAAAAACTGTTAAATGCTTTTTCAATG